TAATTTTTTTACTTTTTTTCGCCCGGAAATAAAAATTGCCAAAATTTTTGCCATGGTCGCTAACACCTTCCGGGAGACAATTAGGTGGGTGGAACCATTCAATTTGCTTTTAAACAGCCAATTTTTCGAATTACAACTTGCACTGATTTCATTAACTCAAGCCTACCACAAACATTTATGAAACCATATAATAATCATTTTTGGTTCCAAACGGCATTATATAACCCCAAGATATATCATCTATAATTTCAAAAAATTTCAACACCGGCCCCGAAACCTCCAAAATTACTTAAAAAGTGTGTATATTAGCCTTCAATTTTGGTATTTTTTGACTTTTTTTCGTCCGAAAATAAAACTTGTCGAAATGTTTACCATGGTCCCGAATACCCTCTGGGAGTCAAAATGGGTGGATGGAACCATCCAATTTTCCTTTAAACAACCAATTTACCGGTTTATAACTTGCACTGATTTCATTAACTCAATGCTACCACGAACATTTATGACAACAAATAATTATCATATATGGTTCCAAACGACATTATATGATCCCAAAATATATTCCCTAGAATTACGAGACTTTCAGACACTGGGCTCCGAACACTCCAAAATTTCTCAAAATGGTGGATTTTAGCGTTTAATTTTTTAATTTTTTGACTTTTTTTTTCCTAGAAATAAAAATTACCAAAATGTTTATCATGGTCTATAATATCCTCCGGGAGTCCAATTGGGTGGGTGGAACCATCCAATTTGCCTTTAAAAAGCCAATTTAGCGGTTTACAACTTGCACCGATTTCATTAACTCAAGCCTATCACGAACATTTATGACAACATATAATGATTATATATGATTCCAAATGGTATTATATGACCCCGAGATGTACCCCTTAAATTTTCAAGGATTTTCGACGTCGAGCCCTGAAACCTCTAAAATTTCGCAAAATGCGTGGATATTAGACTTCAATTTTGGAATTTTTTGACTCTTTTGGCCCGAAAATAAAAATTGTCGTAATGTTTACAATAATCCTTAATACCCTCTGGGAGTCCACTTGGATTGGTGCAACCATCCAATTTGCCTTTAAATAGCCGAGTTACCGGTTTACAACTTGGATCGATTTCATTAACTACAGCCTACAACGAACATTTATGAAAAAAAAATAATGATCATATATGGTTCCAAACGACATTTTAATACCCCGAAGACCCGAAAGTATATAAAATTGTCGAAATGTTTACCATGGTCCCTAATAACCTCCAGGAGACCAATTGGGTGGGTGGAACCATCCAATTTGCCTTTAAACACCCAATTTACCGGTTTACAACTTGCACCAATTTCTAACTCATGCCTACCACGAACATTTATGACAACATATAATGATCATTTATGGTTCCAAACGACATTATATGACCCCTAGATATATCCCCTAGAATTTCAAGACTTTTCGACACCGGGCCCCGAAACCTCCAAAATTACTTAAAAAGTATGGATATTAGCCTTCAATTTTGGAATATTTTGATTTTTTTTTTCGCCCGGAAATAAAAATTTTCAAAATGTTTACCACGGTCTCTAATACCCTCTAGGAGTCCAATTGGCTAGGTGGAACCATCCAATTTGCCTTTAAATGTCCAATTTATCGGTTTACAACTTGCACCGATTTCATTAATTCAAACCTACCACGAACATGTATGACAGCATATAATGAGAATATATGGTTTCAAATGGCATTATATGACCCCGAGATGTATCCCCTAAAATATTAATACTTTTCTACTCCGGGCCCCAAAACCTCCAAAATTTTTCAAAAAGCGTGGATATTAGCCTTCAATTTTGAGTTTTTTTGATTTTTTTCGCCCGGAAATAAAAATTTCCGACATGTTTACTATGGTCCCTAATACCCTCCGGAAGTCCAATTGGGTGGGTTGAACCATCCAATTTGCCTTTAAACGACCAATTTACCGGTTTGTAACTTACACCGATTTCATTAAATCAAGCCTACCACGAACATTTATGACAACATATAATGGTCATAAATGGTTCCAAACATCATTATATGACCCTGAGATGTATCCCCTAAAATTTCAAGGGTTTTTGACACCGGGCCTCGAAATCTCCATAATTTTCTTAAAAAGCGTGTTTCTTAGCCTTTAATTTTGGTATTTTTTGACTTGTTATCGCCTGAAAATAAAAATTGCCAAAATGTTTACCATGGTCCCTAATATCCTCCGGGAGTCCAATTGGGTGGGTGGAACCATCCATTTTGCCTTTAAACGACCAATTTACCGGTTTACAACTTGCACTGATTTCATTAACTCAAGCCTACCACGAACATCTATTACAACATATAATGATCATATATGTTTCCAATAGGCATTATATGACCCCAGATGTATTCCCTAAAATCTCAAGACTTTGCGACACCGTGCATCGAAACCTCCAAAATTTCTTAAAAGAGCATGCCCCGATTTCAAATCACCTTAAATGCAATAATTTAGGCCACCTTATTATTGTTGATCAAAGCATTTTTCCTTGGGAGACCAAGTCGGTCCAGGCCAGCAAAAGAAAGGATTATCGTCCTCAAATTTAAGAGTTAAATATAGTATATATTTGTTGTATGGTCAAAGGAGAAAATTATCTTCCTAAATTATAGACTATAGCCATTATAGTCAAAGGAAATAATTAGCTTGATAAAAATGATAATTATCTATTTATAGTTAGTTGAACCCGAATATGTCATGACTTGGAAATGACCTGACGTGATTGTAATCTGCAAATTATTGACTTGAATATAACCCGACTTGAATCCGATAATGACCTAACCTGATTATAACCCGCAAATTATTGACTTGAACCGAACTCGACTTGAACTCGAGAATGACCCGACCTGATTCTAACCCGCAAATTATTGACTTGAACCGAACCCGACTCGAACCCGAGAATTACCCTAACTCGTTTTAACGTGTGAAAACCCGAATTAAACCCGACCTATTGTTCACCCGATCCGAATGTAACCCGACCCAAACCTGATAAGAAGTATGATCCGATGTGACCCGACTCAAGCATGACCTAACCCAAACCCGACTCGCATAGGTTATGGAATTAATCCAAATTGACCCGACTCGAATTGACCCGACCCACTCTTACCCGACCCGTTTACCCGAATTGACAGCTCTACATGGAATCCAAATGAATACTTGCTTTGGAGAGTTGTGGGATGGATAATACTGTAGATTAACATCCTGTTACTTTGTCTGTTTCTCTGTGTTGAAGCATTCAAATTACTGGTTGTGAAGTCATGATGTGCACTATCAGCCTGTAATCAGCAATTCAGTAGGAAGCCTCTCTGAATTTTACTTGTTCCGACTGCATTATTTTTCTCTCCAAACAGCATTCTTCATATCTGACCTTTAACTGCATACAGAGTGTTAAGCTCTTACTATGAAGTTTACTTATAAAAGGCTAAATACTCTCACTTTATACAAGATAATTAGAGATAGTGATCTGAGTTACAGAACAAAGTTGCTAAACCTGAAGCTTTATACTTTAAATATTCTTGCTCTGTATTTTGATGGCAACAATATCCTCTAATCAAATGAATCCTTTATAGTCATTGGTCACATGTATTCTTGTAAGAACTCTGGAAAACCGATCAACTTTTATGAAAATCTTTACATGCGCTTTTTATAGCCTCAACAAAAAGCCAATTGTTACAGAGCTCCGCAACATTTGCGTATGTAAATATGTAATATGTTAAGTCTTGACTCGCATAGGATAGCTACAAAGGGAGCTTTCAAGTCTTCTGCAATATCTTTGTATGCATGAGTAAGCAAATTTCTTTGTTGGATTACATGAGATGAAACCACTCTCAGGTTGAGCTGAGATTCAGTTCATTAATGAGATGATAATATATGAGTGATTGATTGAATCCAAAAGCATCATGTATTTTGTTAATTAGGTGCATATAAGTGTTACTATGTACGAAGTAGAGATAGGAGATTAGAACAGTTAACCAAAGTTTTGACTTTCAAGTTGATTTTTAAGTCTAAAATCATACTCGTTCTAGGAGGGAGTTCCCTAAATACTTCCCTCCTAGGATAGGCCTCTACTCCGTAACACTTGGGTGACTAACGTCATGTAAAAATTTCAGTAGTGTTAAAACCTCTCGTTCCTACTAATGACTAAATATACACGAAATACAACCTTATTAGATAACTTGTTTTACGATTTTACGAAGTTCTTGTTATGGGTAGCTATCTGTAGTTTTTAATAATGATAAGCCGGTCTCGTAATCCCCAAATCATTAATCATCTCGATTCATGGATCAAACTACCATAAATCTATAGATAAATTTGGTGAAGGTCGTCAATTATATATAAACTGCACTGGCTATATAGTGGGTTCACAAGACTTTTGCATGGATGTAGCAGTGCTTCTGGAGAATTCTTCAACATGCAATCATAAACATGTCATCATCAAACAGTATAAAATTATAGGTTCATGTATTGTGAGGTTGTGACCATAACTTGACATTATTCGTACAGAGTTTTCAACATTATGGTAGGGACTGACTACTCCACTAACTTAGTGATTCATCTTCCATATCAATTGTAAGATTGTGTTCCAGGATTCCATATGCTCTTAGGTGTTTGGCCATTGTTAAATTAAACTTGGTGCTTAAGAAATCACATTAGTCAAACCCTTATGCAGCATTGCATGTTTTGAAAGAATCATTTCAAGCAAATTATGCCATGGTCTTGGAGAATTGATGATTCGTGTTTACTTAAACGTATGCATCATCCACGTCGGGATGACATAAGGTACACCCGAGAATATGATACCAATAATGTTAGTCTTATGTGAATGCATAATAAAATGCTGCATATGATCTTAGCATCAGCTCAGAATTCCTGTTAGTCTTTGCATCAGTTCAGAAAATAGGAAAGAATAAGAATCATATTCAAATCAATAAACAGCAAAAAAAAATCAGAGCTTTCAGATCCCCAGATTAGATAATCTGATAAATTAACTTTCCAGCAATATTTCAACTCAAATTACATTCTAAACAATCAATTAAAACCTGTAAACTCAAGATTTAATCTGCATATATTCATCCAACTAATAGACCTACAAAACCATCCGTAACAATTAACACCTCAAAATCCAACATAATCACAAAACAAACATCAAAATTCCCATTAAAAACCAAAAACACTTTGACATTAAACAACACAAAAATTCATATACAACCCAGAAAACAAAACAAAAAACCCAATTCAACAACACAACAAAAACACCCATCAAATCAAAAATCAAAACCAAAAATCACCTATTATCATAATCAACAATCTCCCGGTCTGTAACAGAGCGAGAATGCTGAACAATAGACCGGCCAATCGAATTAATCCAATCTTCCTTCTCCTTCTCAGAATCAGCAATAAAATACATAGTATCAGACCGAGTCGAAAGCTCAAACGCAAATTGGCGGTTCAACACATCTTCAGCACCTTTAACGGTTAAACAGGTGGAAACCGGAATAACACCGCGCGGTTTAGAAGAGCGGTTGACGATTGATTCTTTGAACCAGAAGAGTTTTCCTTGCTTTAAGACGAACCAACGACGACGCCATGTTTTGATGTACTCGCCTTGCTTGGTTAGCCACCCGGCTCGCTCTGGTTCGGCCCAGAATTCAATACCGTCGTATTCTGAACCGGTGGTGGCGGTTGATCCGCCGGTGTCGATTCCGAGGACCCGGTTTAGAGCTGATTGCCAAAGGCTTGACATTGAGAGGAGAGAGAATGAGGATTTTGGGATTTTTGGGTTTGGTTTTGATAGGGTGGATTTCAAGAAAAATATGACTTGTTTATGATTTTGATATTTGTAGTGAAATTTTTGGTAAATTTTGTTTATAATTGTAAAATTGTATTATTCCCTTTGGTAAATTTGATTGTAGGTGTGTTTTTCTTTTTTAGATTTACTATCGTCAAAAAGATATTACTCCGTATTATTCCAAATAGATTCGGGTTATACTTGGGGATGCTAGAGAAGTGAGTTAATTAGGAAACTCATAATGTTTCCTTCGTGATGACTCCAACATCAGTCGAGAATGGGGAAGAAAATTGTGGTGTTAGGGTGGAGGTGAATCTTCAATTGCATTCATCCCACTTCATACCTACTTTTAGTTGGAGTGCAATTTTGAGTTTAGAGGATATTTTGAGTTTAGAGGATAATATGGTGTTACCTCGTGCCTGGTTTGATTAGGCCATTCCCACATAATTTATTATTTATTATGTACCAAATTTAACCAATTATGCCACATTTGTACTATTCTCTTTCATTAGGTTGGTGTAATTGGGTATTAGGTGGATTATATGGTGATAAGAGTTTTAATTATATATACATGTCAAGGGCAGGGATGGAGACAAATTTCAACTCCATCATAAGTGACACTTTAGGGATGAGGATAGCAACGTAGGCGAGGATAGGGAAACCAACATCTCGCACTCCCACCTGCCTCATTGATATCTCTAATTATTCGCATGCGAATTTTGTAAATCAAAAGAAATTCATTAAACACATCAACAATATAATTTTGAAGAATTGGAAAAATTTCTATCCTATAAGGCTACAAATTGACAATAACTTTGCAAAAACTTATGGTCTGTTCTGAGATGAAATAAACTAAATATTTTATAAGAGAAGAAAATTAGGAACTAAAGTGAAGATAAGACGAAGAGAACTAACTCTTAGAAAATTCACTAGCAAGAGCCAAATACAAAAAAACACTTTACTATTTATAACCCTCATAAAATCCAAATTAAGGCCCATTTTCTCTCTCATCAACACTAACCAGCAACCATTCCACATTCTCTGACAACATCCTCCGAGTTAAGCAACTCAACTCGCTACTCAGAAATGTCTTCCTTCCCTGATGAATTCGGGCCCGACTCAAACCCATCCGGCTCGACTCACCCCTTCGAAGACGAAGATGGCTACGTTGCTGTTGATGGCTACTCCAGTTTCGTCGATTCCGAGTCAATCAAGGAATCGGTTGATGACTCGGTGGTTTTCAATGATAGCAACGATGACGTTTTTGGATCTAATGGAAATTCGGTTGATGATGGAGTTTTTGTTGACGTGAATGGTCCGGTGTTGCCGCCGCCTTCGGAAATGCAGGAGGAAGGGTTTGCTCTTCGTGAATGGCGGAGGTAGGCGTAATTCAATTGCTTTCAATTATGATTAATTTTCAGTTTTTATTTTTTAATTTTGTTGAATTTTGAGTGTTGTTGTGAGATCTAAGTGTTGAACTGATTAATTGATTGTAAATTAGGTTATTTTTCTTTTTTTAGTTGAATTGAACTTGAAATTTAAACTAAAATTGAATTGCGTAATTTGATTAGGTATACTATGAATTGTACTTTTTGCTGTGAAATTCCCAAAATTTGGCCGTGTTAGTTCATAGAATTATGCAATTTCTTTGAATGAGGAAAGTGTAATTCAACAATGGTTGTGGAATGAGTGTTAGCTCGCCTTTGGATTTGGGGAATGTAGCAACAATTCATGTTTTGGTTTAAGGACCGGATGCATATTATCGTTTTGATTTGAGCATGTTTTTTCAAGTGGAAATACTAGGTTCTGTGAGTTTGTTGATCTAATAGACAGACTAATACTTCGTATGTATTTAGTTGGGAAATGTGGATCATTAGAGCAGCAATGTAAAGTTCGAAAGTGTAGTGGGGTGGGGTTCGAATTGTTGCTATACTTGCTTCGCTTTTCACTGTGAAAACTAGCATTTTGTGATATATGAATACCCTGAAACGGCTTCTAAGGATAGACATTAGTGAGAATGTGAGATTTTAGAAGTAATTGTTAACCAGGACAAGCTATTTCAAACCTTTCAAGAGAGGAAATTAGACAGGCATTGTGAGACATATTTAGTATTATGTCTGTATGACTTCCATTACAGAAGTGAGCGGAACTGATGATTAATATTTAATAGAACTGACCTAAGCTGGTCAGATAGGCTAGTAGGTTCAACGACCCCCCCCCCCCCCCTCCCCTGACCTCTTCAGAACTCAGCAATGGCCGGATGCATACTGGCTCCGGACCCTATGTTGTTGTTACATGCAGTTATGCTTATGGAGTGTTGTGCTACTAGCTTTAGGTTAAAGGCATTGATCTATTGAACTTGCTTATTTTATAAATTGTCACTTTTTAACCTTTTTAGTATATGGAGTATAATATTTTGAGTTCTGACAATATAATTTTCAAAATACAAGTTCCATATACATGTGTCTTTATCAGTTGGTGATCAATTTTATTGGCTTATTCAGACAAAACGCTATTCGACTGGAAGAGAAGGAGAAGAAAGAGAAAGAAATACTGAGCCAGATCATTGAGGAAGCAAATGAGTACAAAGTTGCCTTCCATGAAAAGAGAAAGCTTACATGTGAAAACAATAAAAACAACAACAGAGAGAAAGAGGAGGTAAGATTCTGTTTCTGTGATCGTATGTAGCCTGTCTATGATGATTATTAAATCAAGTTTCATAAATGGACTTCATATTCTCTGTTTATTGCATGGAACCACAACAATTACAATCTTACAGTACTTTTTTCTGTTGTGGCAAATGTGAACTTCTAAATTGGGGAATGACTTGTAGTTGACTGTTTAAGGTTCTTATTAGTGGTGGAAAATAAGTTGCCATGCCGGTTTCATTTTCATGTCAAAATACTTGGGTTGAATTCTTCACACTTGACAGTAATTAGACTTAATGATTCAGAATACCCTCCTCCAGCCATTTTTCAATCCGTGTTAGTTGTAGGATGCATAATTTTTCTGATTTTTCGTCATTTAGATGGCAAGAAGCAATGAGTGGGAATCTTTGTTGTATAGTGAATTGTTAGCAACTACTCCGTAATATGATTTTCCATTTTGATACCAATTTATAGTGACTTGTGTCCTGAAATGCTGTGTTGATTTTGCAGTTATTTCTGGCCAATCATGAGAAGTTCCACAAGGAGGCAGACAAGAATTACTGGAAGGCAATAGCAGAGCTCATTCCTAATGAAGTTCCTGCTATACAGAAAAGAGGAAAGAAAGAGCAAGAAAAGAAGCCTTCTATTGCTGTGATCCAAGGACCAAAGCCTGGGAAACCGACTGACCTTGCAAGGATGAGGCAGATACTTGTGAAGCTGAAACACACTACTCCTGCCCATTTAAAACTTGCCTCACCACCTGCAGATGCTAAGACCAATGGAACAACTTCTAGTGCTGAGCCCTCCAAGACTGCAGCTGTTGAAACCGCCCCAGAAGCTGTAGTCGCTGCATGATGACTAATTTATGTTAAATGTCTTTGTATTATATCTGAGGATATGATGGTTGAGCCCTTACAATGTTGATATAGCGTCATAGACTGTGTATATTGATGCTGCATAATTCTAGGCTTGACCCGTTAGAAACTCTTGACAAGTAAATTATGAGGTAGAATATAAGACATGAGATTTATTGTTAGGTGTTTTGATATGTTCGAAATCTTTAGACCAAAGCTACATTATTCAAATTCTATTAGCTTTTAATCTCAACCTCCGTCATTATATATCTTGGAAAACTCAAGTTACTAATATAATGTAAATTGTTAAACCAAACAAACAAAATATATATACATGTAGCATTGTGCCATGTTTGAAGTTTACTTGAGATACTCTTTCATATCGATCTTCCTATGTCGACCAATATAATCTTAATCTTGCCCTCTTAAAATCTTAAATGATATCATGAATAACTCAATATAACTTCTCTAATGCACTTGGTGTCAATTATTAGCTTTGCAAAAATCTCAGCTTGAATCCTCTCAGAAAACTTAATAAAGAAGAATCCATAAGGCAACTCTCAAGCACAAAGTTTATGAATTCACCCGAACCCATGAGGCAATCTTTTTAAACCACATGTGCATTTTTCATTTTAGTTTAACAGAACAATGAAGCAAACAACTGCAAGAATAATGTTTTGTTCTACTATGTACCAATCAAAAAAAAAAAAAAAAAAAAAGGAAACCTCTAAGAAAACTTTAACATTTCCCCTTTCGTCTTTCTTGCAGTGTCGTGGTAGGTGCATTTGGTCATACAAGTCTCAGTCTTCAAGCTTACACAATCTACAGCAACTGTTGGGGTGAATCAATGATCTTCATAGTTAGCATACCAATATATCAGTAGATGACAAGATGTCCGAAAAGTCAGCTACAAGGATAATTAAGCTAAAAAAGTTCTAATAGTACAAGGGCCGTTAAATTATAAATTTAAATTTCGCAGATGCTGATAACTTTACACACATACATCACAACAGCCTGCAAATCCGTTAAGAAACCACTTTGTTTCTGAATTCCTCTATGAAACCCAAAACCGCCAGACAAGGAAATGCAATTGAAGATTTTTGGGAGCAGATTATTAGAATGTCACCTATCATGTGTGGTAGGTGAAGCATGACCACCCCGATGATCGCTGACTAGGTCATCTTCCAATTCACTACCATGTCCAGCATGGTTATTGACACTGAGCTCAGAACTGGCATTGCTACTCGTAGCAAGGGGAGAATCAGAAACACTAGCAGTCCTGCTTCCTGTAGGCCCTGATCTCACACTGTACATAGAAGAAGCTGGAATTTTTGTCATTAATGGCCGCAAGTTACCAGGGATAGTTCGTCTTATATCCTACACGAGAAAAATAATTCATGAAGCAGTTGTACATACCAGTAAAATGCGCATTACAAAATATAATTAGAATTAATAGTCAAAAACAGATAACAATAACCCATCAATATATATATGCAGGGTCTGAAGAGGTCCAAATGTAATGCTTCTAATCTAACAAAATTGGTAAACTATACAAATCATGAAGAGGTCCAAATATAAACAGCCTTGTTTCTAATACACCTACAATAATTGCCTAGTACACTAATAGGATCCTCGTCTTCCCACAAGTGGTTTAAATCTTTGTAAAATAAAAAAGATAACTCATAGTTTTTTATCAGAATTAGATGCCTATGAAGACCAACATGAGGTAAAACAGTGCTTTACATGGTAAACCCTACACATTCACAATCAAAGAAGCTGAGATGATGAGGTCATAAGAGAATTTAACAGGATGTGTTAAATGATTACGCAAAAAGAAATATATACTACTTATTACAAATTATGACAGAAAAATTGATTAACTCACCATATGCCGTATAGCCATATCCAAGGACTTCTTAGAAAGTGACCGTCCAAAGCCAGAGCTATCAGGTGATGAAGCTGACTTTCCAGATAAGCAAGGAGAATGTTTGTCATCCTGTCTTGGTGGTGCCAACTTTCTCATGTTAATCACCCTCTCAACCATCTTTGTCCCAATAACTACGGGACTCACGTCTTCATTTACTTTGGAATGTCCTCGATTTACTGCAGGGACAGAACTTCCACTAGAGTGTATGCCACCATTAGGGGCCCGCCCTCTAGAAGGTGAACAAGACTGACGTCTTCCTGCTCTTCCATTACTGGCAGGCTCCATAGAAGCAGAACGTGCAGCGGGGGCTGCAGGTCTACCACGAGCAGCTGAAAGGGGTCTATCAGGGAGGGTGGTCCTCAGATTTGGTGGAGCATCTAATGAAAAACCAGGCATCTCAGATGGATTCCATGGCCGAGATCTAACAGTTGGAGATGTACCACGCGAAGGCACAGTATTCCTAGATGGTGCTGAACCCACTGACTTACTACTAATCGAAGAAGATAACTTGTTAAGAGATGCAGTAACACTGGGAACACTTGATGACGACGTACGATGAGTTGGAGTTGATGCCCTGGATGTGGGTCGGGATGTAGGAACGGCAGGCCGAGCCGTTGGGGTTGAAGATCTGGCAGTAGGCCTTGTTGGGGTTGAAGATCTAGCAGTGGGCCTTGTAGGAGTGGAAGATCTTGATGGCCCAGCTGATGGAGCTGTAGTCCTTGTGGATCTGGTTGGGGTCGAGGATCTTGAAGGGCCTGCAGACCTAGTGGATGTCACAGAAGCTGTGGATCGAGCTGATGTCAATGAACCAGAGGGCTTGGGGGAAGAGGAGTGTAGTGTGGGCTTAGAAGAAGAAAGTGTGCCTCGAGAAGTTGGTGTAGATGATCTTGAAGGTTTAGAAGACGGCACTGAAGGCCGGCCAGTTGGCGTCGCAGGTCTAGATCCACCCCCTGGTGTCACTGGTCTAGAACTTAGACCACCTGATGAGGGGGGCCTAGACCCTGGACCTCCTGAAGAAGGTGGCCTTGACCCTGGGCCCCCTGATGAGGAAGGCCTCCGCATTCCTGAAGCTGAAGATGTCAACCCAGAGGATGTATTTGACTGCCTTGGCATCAAGCTGCTCCTCCCTGTAGTAGTCTCTGTCTGGGAGTTTCCCAACTACATCACAGTTAAAATAGATGAACTTAGAAAAAATAGGATCACATAATGTACATTAATAAGATTAAGAATTATCACTGCCCACTTCCCCCAATTCCCCATTATTGGCATTCTCTCTCGCTTTTCGAAACTTATCAAGTAACATCAAAGAATAAGATGATCACCATGAAAGTAAAAGGTAGGCGATAAATTAAAACAGTTCTAATGCTAAACTTAATTACGGATTATGGACCATCAGATCTCAACAAACGTTGTACAAATATTAAGGAAAAGCATCAATCATGGATATAATCGGAACACTAGAAAGCCTTCCATAAAAAAAGATTAGGTACTTGGGTACCCATAATGGCCCATCTGTACTCATATTTTTGGACAGGTGTTCTGCGGGGATCTGATATATAAACAACGATACATGAAGCTCATTCAAACTCTTTTATATGCAGAAAAGGCTTCTTCCCACCTATTTGTGCCATTTACTACATAAATAAAAACTAAATGACAAGGAAGGAAACATTATACTTTATCACTTTAAGCAATGAAAAGGGCTTCATAAGATATTAATTTCCCCCACAGAGAAGAGATTCCAGCTTACTCATCTTGACTTCAATGAAAACACCCAATCCCCAAAGCCTCTCTCTTTAACTCGTACAATTTCATGTGATATATGCAGTATTATCTTTCATATAAGAAGTAAACTACTTGGGATTATTCAGTTGTCATTGTGTTTATATAATCCAGCGTTGGACATCTGTATTCTTACTCTTGATCTCAGTGCGGTAGGTTGAGCTTTCGGAGCTTCTGCGTCATCCATGTAGGCCTTTCTTGACTCCATCTCCAGTGAAGGGAAGAGAGGTGTACCAGGAGGGGTCAGAAGCCTGAAATGAGAAAGTGAATGCTGGTAAGAAGCCTTTAAAGTAGGAAAAAAGAGACTAAAACCCAAAATGAAATGCAATTCTTTCACCTTAACTAAACCAATCCTATAAATCTCATGGCCAAAAATTTACTAGACTGCACTGAGCTGCTCCAATTATGCTAAAAAAACTAGCTATAAAGTCTGAAAACCTCTCGAATTGTAATCCATTTTACTTCAAAGGCACTAGAAAAAAGATAACAGCAATTAAAAGTTAAAACAAGCCTAATATAGTCAATTAAAACATCATTACTAGTACCAACATCAGACATCCCACCACTCAATGCGAGCGAAAAACAAACTAACAAATATTATAACAGAATGCCTCCAGATGTACAGAAGTCAAGGTAGACAGCTGGTTACAGGCTGAAGCTTCAGCTACCTAGGCCCCTTAGCCCCTTAGGCAACAACGGAATATAAAAGCAAAAGTAATAGCTAAAAATAGCAGCCCTGTGTTCTAAACCGGAAACTTCCTGGATAAGGTTAAATTTTCTTCAACATATTTCAATACAAGTCAAATTTAGGAAAAAATAAGTTCTGATTAGTTCAAATAAGTTAAGTTTAGGGAAAACAAGTTTAAAAAAAGTTAAATTTAGGAATATAACGATTACAAAAGTTCCATGTACAACTAATATAAGTTCAGATAACTTCCCAGATAGATGAAAATAAATGAAGATAATGCACCCTAAGTATCTTTATTTCCTTTATGGCATCATCAAACTGCTTTGGATTGCAAACTTTTTTTGATAATATTCTTAGCATATATCTACACACCCTATCAATGTTGGATGGAAGCAAGATTTTACTTTTCTTTAAGATAATCATCTTAATACTCATTCGATTTTCTATTGAAATAGAGGAAGCTAATGATATCAATATCTATATTTTCAGGGGGTAACAGAAGGATTACAGCAATCATCCTATATACTCTCTTGTAAACATCCTTCTTCGGTAAACATTCCCTCCACAAATGTTTTTCCATTACAATCTAACATACAGTTGTGAATCTCCAGGCCTTTAGTTTGTTCAGAAAATTTTCCTAACAGCCTCATCTCTCCAAATGTCCAGAACAATAGGTTCCTCAGAAACATGAAGCTGGAAGCTATTACTTCTTGCTATGTATAATGAACCATCCATGAAAATTTGTAGACAAGGATGCCATTTGGTACAAGAGGTGTAGGATGGCTGGAAGGTGAGAAAAATATTATGGTTGATATATCATTATCCATCATGAGACAAATTAGACGGATAGTTCTTACACATTCAAATATCAT